TTTTAATAACAGTTTTATAAGAAACTCCCTTAATGTCGGATCTAATCCTCCATGTAAATCAAAATGGCTTAAACCTCATTGTATATCTTGGCGCAGCATTTGGATGTTACCATATAAATATGTAATTTCTAATAAAGTAAAAGAAGTACTTTACAAAATTATTCACAGATATTATCCTGTAAATGCAGTTGTTAGCAGACATATTCATAGTGTTTGTGATAAATGTACCTTTTGTAATGTATCTGTTGAAGATATTGAACATTTATTTTTCTATTGCCCTTTTTCTATTTCATTTTGGGTTGACTTTAAAATAGACATAACAAAAAAATTAAACAAAGGCCTTAATTTAGAACCTCATGATATTTTTCTTTGTTATCAAAACCCATCTTTTTCTGATAAACACATTTACATTATTAATCTGTTAATTATCGTAGCAAAGTTTTATATTCATATGTCAAAAGTAATTCAAAAGAAACCATCATATGTTACATTTTGTAACACTGATCTTAAAATATACTTCGAAACCCTTTCTAATATGAGACCACAAAATAAGAAGCTTATAAAACAATACAAACTCTAAAGCTTTTCAAAATGATGTAACTGCCCTAATGCATGTTTTTTTCTCTCTTTTCATTCTGTTAGTTTTATTTTATTTATATGTATATATATATGTTTGTATTAATTTTGCGTTTTTGTTGTTGCTGTTGTTCTGTTTTGCATGCTTTGAGATGTGCAATGTTTCCCTGTTTGCATTGTCCCTTTGTGTGATGGAACTGAACAAAGGGGAAAAAAGAAAAAGAGAACGATTACTTCATCGACCTGGATTTCAGGAGTATTTTAGTTTTTTTTAGCATTTAGTATTTTCGTATTTAGAATTATAATACGGATAGTTCCGGTCCTTGATTCTGATTGGTTGAGCCGTATTCGAAGCTGTTGTAAATTAATCTACAAACACACACCTTTGTTTACATTTGTGTGTTGCAACCACAACCATTTCTGAGGAACTACATTGTTTGGCGGAAGAATACTGTTTTTATTCATATCATTACACTTTATTTGCTCCGTTTTATTTTGTGAAACCTTACTATGTATATGGAATAACCGTTTTTATAAAAGCAATAAGCCCCGTGAAGCCGTGGTTTACAGTGAATTTATAACAGCTAAGGGGGTTTTACAACGCCCCTTAGCCGTTATAAATTCACTGTAAACCACGGCTTCTTGGGGCTTATTGCTTTATTTTAGGCCTACATCAAGTCTAAATGCAACTATGTATGTATTTAATTTGTTAAGTATAATAACCCTAATTTGTACTCTAAAATATATATGCCTAAAGCTTTATATGTATTAATTACATGATGAATTAGTACCTGAAATATAATTGGACAATTAAAGTACTCTTACGCGCACAAGGAAACAATAAGCAGTCTTCAACAAGGGGCTCAAATAATTGAAAGTTAAAATATGCATTTAACAAAAATACAATATTAAGGTAACTCATACCAATATTAAGAAGCTAAATTTCAGCTCACTTTCTTTTCGCATTAAAATGTAGAAGGCTCAAAAATTTGAATTCTCTTCTGTGCTTTACGACTGAGACCTAAACAGCTCTAGCAGCAGACACTAAAATGATTTTTATTGTAGATTAATATTAACTAAATGCATTCTTACAGCTTCTCAAGAGGTCGAATGCTGATGTTACCAACTCTTTGCTTATCATGGCACAAATCGTGACAAAACTGGTTGGATTGTTGCCCAGCAAGATTCTTCATTTTGACAAAAACCCCATTTTATAGCCACGCATAAGTGTTTCTCAGCTTTTGTTGACAGCCAACTCTGCTTGAAGACACATTTTAATGCTGGTCAGCTGTTTGAGGACTTGATCTTCTTAAACCTGGTTCAGTGTGAGCCACGTGTTCAGACACGTTCAAACGTGCAAAGTATGTTTGCAGCTGCATTTCCCTTAAAGGGTTAGTTCACCCAAAAATGAAAATTCTGTCATTAATTACTCACCCTCGTGTTGTTTGAAACCCGTAAGACCTTCGTTCATCTTCGGAACACAATTTAAGATATTTATGATGAAATCTGAGGGCTCTCTGACCCTCCCATAGACAGCAAGGTAACTACCACGTTTGTTACCACCGTGAAATTGAGAAATTTAGTTACCACCGTGTGACAACAGTGGTTCAACTGTATCACGCCGGATCTGGGTCAGTGCCGCCACACGCTCGCGTCATGATACTGTCGTGAACGCGTGTCCACAAGTGACGCAGTAGAGACGAAAATGTGGAATAAAGTTGTTATTTTTGTTTTCTTTGCGCAAAAAAGTATTCGCGTAGCTTCGTAACTTTACAGTTGAACCGCTGATGACACACAGACTACTTTGTCGATCATCTTGGTACTTTTCTGGACCTTGAACGTGGTAGTTACATTGCTGTCTATGGGAGGGTCAGAGAGCCCTCAGATTTCATCAGAAATATCTTAAATTGTGTTCCGAAGATGAACGAAGGTCTTACGGGTTTCGAACAACAAGAGGGTGAGTAATTAATGACAGAATTTTCATTTTTGGGTGAACTAACCCTTTAAATTTAACTCTCTATTTAAATCTTAGTGTCTTTTTAACAGGGTACATACCAATATTGTATCCTGAAACAAATGTAGTACTACAGGCTTCTTCAAACAGTCAATGAAAGAGTGACACAAAAATAATTGCCTTGCTTTATTTGATCAAACAACGGTAGGGTTTTAAGGTTAGAATGACTGCAAAAATTCAAAAAATATTTTATTTTAGTAATGTAAACTTTTAAGGTTAGAGTTAATTCAGTTAGTGCATTATTACAAAAAGTAAATGTCAAATTGTATTGTTATATTTTATACTCAGCTGACCAAATGTCTAACACACTGTCAAAGATTGTCAGTCTTCATAGTGTGCACAGCTTTCCATGCTGTCCACAGAGCAACCCCCCTTTCTGATCACCCAACTGTCCTTGATTTTCACAACTAGTGTCTTCTGATCAGGTCACAGCATAACAACAGTCTTTAAGAAGTGATGGACACCATGTTGTTAGGGCTGAGAATCTCAATCCAGTAACCATCAGGATCCTGAATAAAGGCCAGGCCCTTCATTTTACCTGCAAGTAATAAATAAATATTAAATAAATTGCCAGTAAGTATTCCTTTAAGTTTATTTATTCAGAGACATTCGGTCTTTGGAGATCAAAGAGAGTTATTTTGCATTTTTAATCCAATTGTATTTATTTTAAAAGGGGTCTTTGTATTGCATGTATACAGAAAATGTGCATACTGTGCACAGTACATATGCTATATAATGCAGAAATAGTAAGAGTAGTATGATATTATGCTATTGAGAACACAGTCACAGTAACATGCAAATATAAACATCCAAAATTTGCAAATTCTGTGGCACTAAAATAGTTTGTTGCAGGTGGAGAAACATTATGTATCTAAAATAATCACATAGGATGATATAAAAGAAATTACCATCATCAGGCTTTTTTACAAAGGTCACTCCATTCTCTTCAAACAGCTTGCAGGCAGCATAGACATCCGGTACAGCAATTCCAATATGGCCTATGATATATATATATACAGAGATATTACATTTCACTTTTATCTAGAACTATATTTTCACATATTTGCAATGATTTTGCTAGCAATATAAAATAACGCATGCAGAATTTATAATATAAAATAATGCAACATCATGAATGTCACATTTTATTTGACCATTACATTTCCTACTGACTTGGGTTTCACAATCCTTCCTTTGTTTTGTGAACCACAAGTACGGGAGTGTTAAGACAGACGCTTTATTTGCATCTCTGATTTTAACTTCAGTAGCCAAAATGGCAGAGAAAATAAATGTGAATTTGAATAGTGTGCAGTATTGATCAGAAATGTTCACTGAAGTTTTTAGTGCAATAAAACCTAGTTAAAATATATGTAAGTAAATACTGCTGTTTAGTACTGTATACTGATACAGTGAACGATATACTGAAATATGGAAAATATGCCCTGACTGATTTAATTGCTGTTTAGACAAAATTATGGTTTCTATGAATGAATAGAAATCATCCTTTAAAGGCACAATATGTAATTTTTCGCCGCTGGAGGGCACGTATTCAAAATAAACAAAGAGGCAAAGGCCTAGTTTGATGACACCGTGACTGAGTGTGGAATCATGGGAGTTGTGGTCTTCATCCCCACAGCCGATGCAATCCGACAGGACTCGGGCAGAAATCATGTTCATGGATGAGCTAATGATTTATTAACATAGTAGAATGAAGCAGGGTGAGGCTGAAAGCCGACAAAGCGAAACAAGGCCGCTGAACGAGTGCGACACACGGCTTGAAAGCAGCGGAGCTTTTATTATGCCACAGTCGACTGCTTCTGCTTCTTCTGGTCATGTGCATGTGGGGTAAAGCAGCGCTGTTTTATCATACTAGATACATTTGAAAGTTCTGTTATTATGCTACTCTGTGCGGTCGTCACCGGTCTAATAAAACGCACAACATATTAAAGCGTCTTAAGTGTTTCCATGTTTTCTACAAAACAAAACCGAGGGAAATCGAGGGGTTATGACGTCATTAGCAGGCAGTGTTGGGAGTAACGCATTACAAAAGTAATAATATTACAGTAGTATATTACGTTTTGCTGTAACGCAGTAATATAATGCATTACTAATAAAATTTGGGTAATATTATTACTCGTTACAATCTCAGTAATGCAAGTTACAACAACATATTACTAACACCGCAAAACAGCACCAGAGAAAAAA